TCCCCCGGGTAAGGTGTATTAGTTACATTACAAATCTATAATACTAACACGACTAAAAACGCAGTCTAATTTCCAAGGTATTAGATATGGTACAGTTGTATTTACACAACAAATGTTACGTGCTGTTTTTAAAATGTAATTTAATATATATTTTACATCATTTAGGTGTTACTGTCAAAAGCAGATACCCTAATGACACTGTCAGACAAAATATAACCGAGATATTAAAAGGTAAAACCTTGAAGTCACCCGCAATCACGGGAATGCTTAACACAAGGGAGATCACATGCGATAACCCACACTAAATTTACCCTTAATAAACAACTCATTATCCATGTCAATGCGTTGAAAAAAATGAAGTCACTAAAACTCAATGAATGTTCTATTTAAATAACTATCATTCATGTTAGCTGGTCAATCAACACATGTGGCATTTATTACAATCCACCAATGTTTTTACTTCAGGATTCGGTACTGAAACAACACCCACAAACGTGACGAAGGACGACTACTGGATAGTTAGGGGTCATGGTGATTACTCCCCGAATTATAACTCGTACTATTACATAGGCGGTGTTGCTATCATTGTGATGATTAGTGTATGTGTTCTAATAACCATAATAAGAAGAAAACTAAAGGTAATCTATTAATACGGTCAGTAATACGGATGTAAAACGAAATGTAAACAAACGACACTATTAATAATATTACAATTACTTGTCGACCTCAAGGTCAGTTATATGGCTTTCTAAAAACCCAGCGAGAGTTTTCGTATACATGGATTGTTATAGGAACAAAGTGCCACTTTTCCTGTCTTAAATACATAGAGAATAAACTGTCAACAATATTTCATCCACAGAACTCATACAATCTCCAAGTTGAAACAATTGAGTCCGATATAAATGAAGAGAATGAGGTACCACCATTTTCTTAGCGTTCGTAATTTGAATGATATTTGTTAATAAAGTTGACTTTGATGGCAACACAATTTACATATGGGTTCATGTTATTCAGAATAGAGATAACCCTACAATGGTATCATCTGCCGGTACATTGGACTCTATAAGGACTGCATCATTCATGGGAAACGAACAAGAACATGAACACATGGATATGAAGGTGCATAGTTTTATAAACTTAAAAGAGTGTGACGTGATGTTTTGACCTGTTATGTAAATCAGTTATATATTAACTGTACATCTCGTATATAGTTGGAATAGCTGTGTTGCCAAGGCTTTCACAGTGAAGCTGTCTAATATTCCTCGCCAATGGAGTTAGGCGCATTCACATCGGAGCCTACATATGTAACTACTATTTCTTTGTCTTCAATTTCAGGAAGAAGTTTCTGGTTTCAATGAAAATGAAAATCTGTTGAATAGGAAGCTAATGTGTACACGACCATCAATGGTATATTGATCATTGTCGAACACTTTTATTAAAATATTATTGGTGGGGATTTAGTCTGAAACGTATGAATGGGGTCGTAATTTGTTTCACCGTGTGTTAGTCCCGTTTCCTAGACTATGTCTAAAATTCAGCCAGTGTAATTACATGTAATGTAAACAGTTGTAAATATTCTTTATTATGCTATAAGCAACAGAGGCAAAGTCCGGATTGTCACTGTGACGCCGATGATTATTTACAACCTGTAGATGAAAATAAAAACGTGAAAACTAAACTTAAACACGTGATCAACGCGAGGAAAATATCCGTTCCTTCATATGATAAGTGGGAAATACCGGCAGAAAACTTGACATTTGCGTCATCGGGAATTTTGGGTCACGGTGAATTTGGTGAAGTGCGAAAGGCCAAGGCTTGGGGATTGCAAACAATACAGGGAATCACTGATGTAGCTGTCAAACAACTCAAAGGTGAGAGCAGAGAGTTCCAGAGAAATGTTTAGTTTAGAATCAGCCAACTGTCCATTTATTAGTATAAGTGAATACAAGCACCAATTAATACTTACGTTAGTAATGACAGATCAATATAGAATGAATGTAAAGGTCCTTGAACACCGGACATTTTATATGATGCCAATCCATCTTGATCGTATTTAATCTTGCATAGCAATCATATAACATATATCTCATTGGAATTTGCTTTGTTAACGTAAGTTATATTACTTATACTGTATTTTGGTTTATAACATACCGTATCGAGCTTCCTAATAGATAATGCCAAATATTTGATGAGCAACATAGTACGCGCTAATGACATATAATCTGAACACGAAATTCTATAAAACTTTATAGTGGACAGATTGCATTCGAAATTGTGTTTGATATTTTTAATATAATACCCTGTTAAGAGACTCTGATTCCACAGTGTATATACATGTATATCTGAACTAATGTATTACATTTTTCTCTATTACGCGTACATCAAAGCTACAGTCAATAATTTGTATGTATAAGGTATATGCTCTTACTTCAATAGGAACAGCAAATGAAAAAGACAAAGACGATTTTTTAAACGAATTATCAATCATGACAAAATTCCCTGCAGCCCACCCTAACGTTGTTTCCTTATTAGGATGTTGCTTGAGATCAGGTAACAATAATGGCTGACATGTGCCATATGCTTTTGCTTAATACAATGCACTGCGCTGTGGTAAATTACAATATATAAAGAAACTGTTTACATGATTGTGTTTCCCTTACTAAAGGTGTGTTGCATAATAAGCTTTACTAATACCAATCATCATGCCTTAGCTTTCATATATAATATGGGTGAATGCGGTTGTTGTAATACTATGGGGCACATTCATTGTTGTTAACATTTTTTAAAAACAAAATATGTTTGTATTTGAATGTACGGTCATTATAATAATAAAATCGTAACTACTAAGAACATGCTAGCACAGATATTTCTCCTTTCTGATCTCTCCTTCTTTTTTTGCTTTAACTGGAAAATTATGACTTAAAATAGATCTGTGGTTCAGACATTTTTGAAAAAGTTACTAAGCAAATTCACTACCGTATTCGCATATATCAAAGTTTTCAGATGATGTATTGGTTGTTATAGAAACATGCACAGTAACAATCCAAGAGTCTCTGAATCACAGTTCAATTAGTTACTTGAGGCTGGCTTTATATTTCTTCAACATGTATCAATGCACTTATTGAAAGTGACCCAGTGCTGAATATCTATCATTTGTGACACACTTGTGGATCGACGACAACACAGTTTACCCAATCAAGATAATTACGGTTTAATTGTGATCGAAAATTGTGAAACAATCACCATTTTCTAATCAAACATCTCATCAATATTTCTTATTTATTTTAGTCTTTTGCGAATCATTATGATTTCCTTATAAATGTCTGTGAAATTATGATTTCAATATAGACGACCAGTGACTAATCGTCAAGTCATATGACATTGTGTACTATCTACACAACGTTAGTATGTTATGCTGTCTACACTACCCCAGGAAACGCATTATGCTTGAGGTTGAGGGGATATATTGCACTATTTTCCAGTAAATATTGTAATTTTTCCGGTCATCTTAATATTAATGTGAAGTTGAAAACGTGAATTCCAGGATTGATCTGATATACAATATACCAATATCCGATTTTTTTTCTTCAAACGTGTTATCAGATCAAATTTGCATAATACTGGAACTTGTGAAATACGGCAGTTTACAAGACCATCTCCGGTCAAATCGTTCTAACTGCATCTACCAAAACCTGCATGCTAATAGTCGTAATCTGTCACCATGGGATTTACTACAGTTTGCATGGCAGATAGCAAAGGGAATGTCATTCATCGCAAACTTAAAGGTAATTAATGCAATGCATTCGAAAATCCCGCTGTAGAACAAATTCTGAAATCGGTGATGGACGAAACAAAATCGATGAATGACTTCGTGGTAGATCTGATGTTTCAGGTCGCACTCGTTGTTAGACTGTAAATAAAGTAATATTGTGACGATTTACTAATTAGGATATCTAAACCGCAGCTCATTTATATATTTTGCCGGCAACTGTGAGTCATCGAGTAAAACTAATATTTGATCTCTGTAGTGCATTCACCGTGATCTAGCCACTCGTAATATCCTTCTGGATGAAAATAATACGTGTAAGATTTCGGATTTCGGAATGGCACGAGACGTTGAAGGTACATATGTATACCAAAGAATGTCCCAGGTAGGTACAGATTGAAGAATCTGAAATATATATCGGGTCCATCGTACTCTAATATAAACATCAAAATATTGATCAAACGTAGAGTAAACGAGAATTGATGATTTGATGACGACGTGTAAATCGCAGTAATGAATAATTGCACAGATATTTTGCATGTGTTTCTATCAAAAGGCTAAGTTGCCCATACGATGGATGGCTGTTGAATCATTGATAGATTCTATGTACACAACAAAGAGTGACGTATGGTCTTATGGTGTGGTTTTATGGGAGATTGTCACATTGGGTAAGCCTTGAAACATGTCAAAGGTAAACGAGACACAATATGCAAGATTGTGCCATAGGTTAACACACAAGGTGTTGGTAAATTTCCTTTCTTAGTTTTGAGCTATCATAGATTGTGGCTTCTTGCTGTCAACCGTGCGTAATCCACAGGTCTTTACAATTCATTTCAGGATCAACACCTTATATGGGCAGGTCATCAAATGAAGTCATCGAGGCTGTAACCAGTGGGTATAAATTACCCAAGCCACGTCATTGTCGTCAAGAACTGTGAGTGTAAACTGGTAAAACCGGGGGAATTTATAAATATTCTTGCGATAGGGAGACCTTGCGACCTTGCCATTTCCCTGTAGCACTAAATGATACTTGAGGATAATGGGATTGGAAAATGGGGGGACAAACACTTAAAATTGAGGTTTAAAATAAAAAAAAAAAAAAAACTACTGTAACTTCGGATAGTTTTTTTCAGAATTTAGAACAGCCAATCACAAAGAATAAATATAGTTTCATGGAAACTGTTGTGTATATAGTAAACTACTCAAGATAAATTCACAATGAATACATAATTTAATTTCAGTTACAATATAATGGACAGTGCATGGACGGATTGTCCTGAGAGAAGACCGACATTCTCTGATATCTCAATGTGCATCCAGAAAATAGTTGAGGACGAAAATACGGTATTTTTTTTTAATTTAATATATAAATCGATCACTGATATTAGAATTGTACTGCATATTTTGATTTCATACCAAGTCAACGTATACATGCGTACTGCATATGTGCTATGTGATTGTACTTGTGTTGGTGTAGTTCTTTGTTTTTCTTAGGCGTACCTGCAAATGTCAGACTTCGATCATCACTTGTATGCAAATATATCAGAAAGCGAAACCCCAACCGACGAGAAGCTGTAACCAACCATGATGTAACCGAATTGTCGAAAGCCGATAAGTTTTTGCGAATGGAAAATTGTAATTTTTTTCAGAGTATTCCAGTTTTTTGTGCGCACCAACTAACCGCTTTTATGTGAGGCGAAATACAAATCAAAGAACAAATTATATAACAAATTATCATTAAGATTCATTGTCCAATTAAAATTAATTAATTCGTTTACATATATTAAATGTCAAATATTCAAATATGTGAGTAAGCTTTATCCAACTTGTTTTGTGTTGTAACTTTTACAATCATGATATTTACGTTGTATTTGATTTCAGCCCACACAATGGATTCGAAAAGTTTTTACCTTGTCAACATTTTCACGATTATATATTTTTATATTGGGAATACACATTGTAGTTTGACGAACAGTAGAACAAGGTTGGTGTTGCTGTCTCAAAGACAAACAATGTAATAATGCAACATATTACGTGAACTTCAACTGTTATTTTTAAAGAATTCAATTTGTATTCATTTATCAATTTTAAGATTTCTGTATATATTAGTTACCCGCTGCTGAATACATATACAATCAGACTTTTTTCGGATAAAACGTTTTGACTGCCAACCAATACTTTTTTTTAAGTTTTGTTTTTACATTTGATACGGTTTTTTAATGATGCATTTTATACCTGGTGTTTTAAGTGCTTTAAAAATGTGATGTGATTTGACAAATGTTTTCAATAAGTAGAATAGAGAATTATTTTGTATAGCTTACTTACTTTATTTTTTTAGAACAAATTACAAACATCATTTGAATAAAATTACATAAAATCGCAACAAAACAAGTTACTGTAAATTACACACTATATGGAGAATCAGAAATGTATTCTGCATTATAACAGAATACTGTTTTACATATGTTACTGATACAGTAGGTTACAAATTACAGTAACTGTGTTTTCTGGACATTTGATATTGCCGTGCTATTTTATAATGAAAGTATAAACAAATTCTACATGAAGAACACTCTAGCGGTATTTTTCAAGATGGCGGATGCGCTTCGAAACGAAGTGGATGGCGAAAACGATTCCCTATCATCTGCATTTCATAAGGGAAATGTTTCAGTACGATGTGTAGTAGCAAGTTTATTAGGAGGAGACCGCTTATATGTACTCAATTCAATTCAATTCCACATTATTTACGACATACTTGTAAAAACCTCATAAACATTTTGTGTATTTGAATTGAAGTATATTCGTAAATGACGCACACATAAACTGTAGAACAGAAAGAAGTCAAACATAACACAATTGGAACTATTTCGGGATAATTCGATTCGCATAAAATGTGCTACTGTAATGGTTTGTTTTCACAAAAAATATTTTATTTGTTCGTTTTAGATTTTTTTTCTGATAATTTCTTGTATTGATACCAGAAATGAGGAAATTAAGAACGATACTACCCTACAGTAGCACATTTTAAGCGAATCCTATTATCCGGAAATAGTTCCAATTGTGTTACATTTATTCTTCAAAGCACATTTTAAGCGAATCCAATTATCCCGAAATAGTTCCAATTGTGTTACATTTATTCTTCAAAGCTTGGCAAAGGTCAGGTCCTGACCCCTTACCGGCAATAAACAATACTGAACACCTCAATGCCAGAACACAAAAATAAATGTCCAAGATAAATGAAGACAAATAAATTTATACAATTTTGTATATGCAGTTTGAACGCTAAAAGGAGATAAAATATACAGTTCTACATGCAAAATTTGTTTAACAATTTATGAATTTATGCAACGAGGCCGATTATTTATGCGTTACGAACTCATGACCTCATGCTACTGACTAAGCAAACTGCTGACACTGACACCCATTTTGCTGACACTGTTGAATACCCGGATCAGTGTTCACTTTACACAATAGAAATACTTCTAACGTGACGCATTCTTAAATGATTTGAAATAAGTTGCATCACGTTAGTGTGGGTGAATCCAAAACCCCTCCTATCGAGCGCCATATTCGCCCAATTGCATCCCCTTGTAGATCAGACGAGTAAGAGCGCCCGAATGTGCGTTCATCGCATTTTTCCTGTGATGTTTTATATGTGCATATCATTAGCACATTTGCATAAGCAATTTAAATACGCGTGATATTTACCACACACTCAAAAAAAGTCAATGCCGAGCTTCATGTTTTATTATGTCTATACTACTGTACATCAGTTTCAACTAAACGGAAGTGACGTCATAGTCATCGAACTCCTTGTATTGATGATTTGCATAATCTCCCCTGCCACGTGAAGTTTTAATAGACGCGTGAGTCTGTTGAAATAAAAAGTGACGTTATTTGTAGTTGACTTTACTACTTTAGATAAAATAGTACAGGTAATTATGCACCAAATCAACACGGAGGCATCTGTAATTAAATTTAGCGTTTAGGTAGAAAATAAATAAATAAATAAATAAATAAATAAATAAATAAATAAATAAATAAATAAATAAATGAATAAATGAATGAATGAATGAATGAATGAATGAATGAATGAATGAATAAATAAATAAATAAATAAATAAATAAATAAATAAATAAATAAATAAATACCTGTTTCGGTCTACGGTAATTGTAAACACAAATCACTCCAACTATTAATATAATTACCAGGACTGCAACCACACTCACAGCTATCGTAATAACATTGGTATTGCCCTTGATCATTTGCTGCATTATTATAACAGTTGTGTTATTAGTAATCGTTGCTGTTTTATTAGTGGTCATTACCGATGACTGGCTGGTAAATTTTTCTGTAGAGAAAATAACAGTATATCGTGAGTTTTATTTGTTCATTCAATTATCATTATGCAAGCTTCACCGGAAATGAAAGTGATTTCTATACGTAGTTGGACCGGCACTTATATGAAATTAGACTAGCGTATGCATGTAGTTGGACTGGTATTGCATGCAACTCGACTATCCCCTGCATACAATTAGATTGGTCCGTGCATGCAATTACACTTGTCCCTTCATGAAATTAGAGTAGCGGACAGTTTTTTTTTCATGCTTTCAGACCAGCCCCTTCATGAAATCAGATTGGCTCTTGCTTGCAATTGTACTAGTCCCCGAATGCTTTTAGACTGGCCCCAATATAAAATTAAACTTGAACCTTTGTATAATTGGACTGGTAACTGCATGAATATAGACGAATTTCTGCTTGAAATACTAGCACCCTAATTTTTTTAGACCATCCCTCGCATAAATATCTCACCAATCTTTGCATGCAATTATTCTGGTCCCTGCATGAAATTATACTGGTCCCTGCATGAAATTAGAGTGGTTCTAGCATACAATAATATTGATACCTCTATGAAATTAGATTGGTTCCTGCATGACATCAGATTAGCCTCTGCATAAAATTGGGTTAGTCCTTACGTGTAATTAGACTGGCCCTTGTATGAAACTAGGTTGACCTCTGCATAAAATTAGAGTAGTACCTGCATAGATTTTTGACTGGTTCTTGCATGCAATTATTCTGGTCCTAGCATAAAAATAGACTGGTTCCTGCATGAAATTTTACATATCCTAGTATGAAATTAGAGGAGCATCTTCATGTTATTAAACTGGTCCCTGCATAAAATTGGACTGGTTCTTGCATGCAATTAGCGTAGCACCTGCATGTAATTAGACTTATCCCTGCATGTAATTAAACTGGTCCCTGCAAGAAAATTTAACTTGCCCCTGCAGGTAATTAGACTACCCCTGTATACATATTTGGTTCTTATATGCAAAATATATGCAAATATTCTGGTCCCTGCATGTAATTAGACTGACCCTGCATAACATTAGACTAGTCCCTGCAGATACATATACTTGTCCCTCCATACAATTAGGACTGTTTTTTGCATACAATTAAACTTGTCCATGCATGCAATTATACTCCCTCCTGCAGGTAATTAAGCTAGTCCTCGCATACATATTTGACTTGTTCTTCCATGCAATTATTCTGGTCCCTGCATGAAATTAGACTAGACTTTGCATGGAATTAAACTGGTCGCTGCATACAATTAGACTAGACCCTGCATGTAATCGGCTGGTCCCTGGATGCACATTAACTGGTCCTTGCATAAAAGTATTCTAACTCCTGCAAAAATACTTGACTAGTTCTTGCATGCAAATATTCTGCTCCCTGCATTTATTCGATATTCTGTTACGATTTCGTTTTCAAACAGATTACTTGACAATACCTTGTGAATCTTTTACAAGAATGGTAATATTCATATCCTGGAAGTGTATCATTTCGGGATCCTGAGCTCTACAGCAGTAAATCCCGCTGTGATTCTTCTGCAGCGACGCAAACCGTAGAGTACTGGACATATTGATAACGTCTTTATTATCATGACTTGTGAAATCTACATCGTCTGTCAGTTTACTGTCACCATGGTACCAAGCTATAGTACTGCCAGGCCTGACGAGATCAACGTGGCAAGTAACGTGGAAAGCCGTATTTGAGAATATTGTCAAGGTGCCGTCACGTGAGCTGTTCAGTTTTGTAATTTCATAATCGAGGCTCATACTGTATAGCACTGGAATGATAAACAGCGTCAATAATTGAATAAATATTTTTATAACCATTGTGTATGTGTAATATACATTTAAAAAACGTAATGTGGCGTGTTACGTCTGTGCCATAGAACTGATACCTGATAAAATTTCGTACTAACATGGAATTTGTGTTTTTTGATATGTACATCATCTCACGAAGTCAATAGAAAAGATGTCTTTGGTTTCATGAAGTTGCACTCTGAGAGCACTCATAGATACTTATTGGTGTACCTGGACAGTCGTCTGACACCTTTGATTGTCTGAATTGTGCGAAATGTATCATGAACTTCCTGCGCATGCGTCAGATGACAATAGCGTGTCATTGTTTACAAACAAGCGCAGGAAACAACCCGTCTACTTCAATATTCCAATGAGCGTCGATTCACAAGGCTTTGCTCTCGCTCCAAATTAATAAGCGTGGCGTAATTCTAAACAGGTCAGAATGCTGGTGAATCCATATTTGTTTACTGCAAAACATGCTCATTCATTCCACCAAATATTTGACATAATAGTCAGAAAAAAATCCCGACAATACTGCATTAATGTTCTCAGAGTGCTGCTGCAATAAACTATAATTACCGCATACGACCAGTTGTAACTGTCTTCTCTGATATACACGTCCACTGGCGCCATCAATGTACGACACAGAGCAATTATACACGTCCTCGTCTTCACGTCGCACTTCTTTAATCATCAGCGAATTCTCATCATGAAAACTGTATCTTGTACTGTCAATGTACTTAATTTGTTCATGTACTCTCTGAGCAATGAACTGGTCATTCTTCTGCCAACGAGTGGACACAAATGTTGCATTTGGGGGTTTTTCAACGTGACAAGTCAACGTCCCAATTTGACCCACATGAACACAGTTCCAAGAGTCAACACTGTTGGGGCCTGTCGATAAAAAATCAACAGAGAGAGGGTTATTTGTAAGTACGTAAGTAATGCCTTTATTGAAATCATATCCTGTTCAGGGTCTGGATTTTTAAAATACAATAAAGTGTCAAATACATACAGAATGGCAAGACGAAAAATACAAATGAAGACATAGTGAAAACATAATAAAATCAAATAAAAACGGAGAACAAGGAATGGTTAGAAAAAACAAAACAAAAAAGGTATCTTAATAAGTTATATCAATTATAAAGCAGCTGGTATTTTTTGTTTATTGGTGTTATTTCTTAAATTGAAGCACTCAAAGATATATTTTGCCAAATGAATTTGTGATTGTTTATCTTTTGTTTTTAGAATGTTTTTTTTTTTTATTTGTGTTTTGTTCAAAGTCATTCTGAAGCGATGCTGTATTCAGTAACCCATATACAGAGTCCATTGCAATCCCATTGCATTTTGTCGTCTGTTTTGTTACGTGGCACCATTCTGTTATCAATGCCCACTGGCTATGAATGAAAAGAACTAAATTTAGTTCCAAGGTGCGGTACGAGCTACAATTTCTTTAGAAAATCAATGAACCGATTACCAGCCTTATGTAATGAAACAATAGCGTAACCAATAGAAACGGACTCTTCACAATGCAGCTATGTTGGGTGCTGATAGTGGCGGATCCAGAGGGGGGCAGGGGAGCCATGCCCCCCCAAACGCATGACGATTCGTATTATCTGGATTACGCATAGCTTCTCTGCGATTTACGCTCTGTATATCTTAAGCGTAGCTTGGACCCCCCAATACATTATGCTGGATCCGCCACTGGGTGCTGAAAACAGCACTGCGTATTAATTCATTACGTTGTATGGTATGCACCGCATTGAGAATGCTGAATGTGTCATGGAAAGCAGAAATAACACACGCGGAACTTATACATAGCCGAATTAGTAACGATGAGCCGCATGTACTTCGTTTATCCCTTACTGCGTGTCTGTTCACACGTGTCACTGCTTAGCTTTCACCTATACAGCACCCCCCCCCCCCAAATACGCTGTAATACTAAACTTATATCGATGACAGCGGATACTTACACAGTGTCACCGCGTAGAGGACAACAATACAGTTGACTGACAGTTGAGCGTTAACGTTCATAGTCCCCGAGAGACAGTGACGTTGAATGCAGGGCAGTCGTTTCCGATCGCCATCAGAGATAATTTGGCCGATACACGTCCACTGGAAGAAGTTCAATGTCTCATACCACGTGCCTTGTACACAGAAATACTATAACGCAGACAGTTTGCATGCAAAAAGGTCAGACAAATGGACCAGGCCCCTATGAATAGGGTGGGTGAACTTTTTGGTCGTATCAGCCTCGTTCTCACTTATACGTTATTTGAAGTGTCGGGGTTGAATGACTGGATGGTTCTGGCCGGGTTACGCCAAACGCCGTGAATATGAAAGGGTATTTTCACGAGTGAAGATGTCAGGACGTTGAACCTTTGGCTGTAAACTGCATGTACATGTGCTGATGCCATAACGAGTTTAATGGAGTACTAGCCTTACGGTTCATTCAACCCTGAAGTCGGCTAAACCGTGTACGTTATGAATTATTCATAAACCTAAATATTTATTAACTGCTTGACACCATAATAATGACGTCACATCGCGTAGGCTAATTTATGCGTGGACACTTCAATAACTGGAGGCGTGTACCGACTGGGCGATTCCATTCATCTTGTTTGAATTTGAGTGAGTCTGATTTCAAATAAATTAACGGCTAAGTTTATAAATGTTTATTAATATTAACATGCTTATCTTAACATCGGTGTATTAATATGCAAATATGCATAGTATATGCAGAATATAAAGAATTAAGTAGTTCCTCGTCAAAAGTGTATGCCTACAGTAAACAGACGACGTTTACAAAAAATACTCTTATAGAGCGGGGCGAGTTTCTTCTACCAAGCACCTATTATATTTGCCTTGCAATAAGATCCAAAACCTAGCAAATGGCTTCTTACTATAGCCAATGGAAGCGCATGTTTTGGATTTGAATAAATCGGCACGACCTACCACGATATTTAACTTGTTGCATAGAAGTAACTATATATATGTAATAGTGAAAGTATTGTTTTTCATACATCTATGATAAAAATGTTTGCTTGACGGTGAAGTACATTTTCTGATCATTAAGGTATTTTCAATCACATGGCTTGTTTATTAATAATAATTTATGAATGAGATGAAATTCACTGTTGTAAGTACCGCCGGTACTGCTAAATCCATACGGTTTCTACTGGCGGATCCAGAAATTCGGTAAGGGGGTCGCGCGCTTCTATTGACGTGGCCGAAGTAAACCTCCGGTGGGATGGGTTTGTGAATCGATTTGTTATTTTTTGCGGGCTGAAGGTAAGGGGGGCGTCTGGCGCGTGGTTACGGTTATAGTTACGGAAGGTCATCGTACCGCGTTGTGTTCGATGTGGGTCACATAGTCTTTGTATGTACAATTCGAACGCGGACTGTCCGACAACCACCGCCCCTAATAAGACCCAAATATATGTCTGCTTGATTACCATATATACTTGTGGCAGTGGACGTTTGCAAACCGTGACAGGTGTCATTTTTCAGACACTCATTTTAAACTACATACTACAGTAAATCCTTAGTTTGAAAGAAAAGAACTACAAAATATGTTTAGAAATCATCTTTGTTTTAGCATAACACGTTTGGTAGACCATTGTATGACATAATGTTTATGCACGACAGATCGTGACAAGTTAAACACAAAATATTCGACAGATACATCATTATGTCTATATCAGAAAAAAAAAACATCTGGAAAAATAGTTAGTATTCTAGACACATTTCAATACAATTCACTCGGGTTATTAACTGATTGACCTGATACGATTTTTTTTACAATTTCTGTAAACTTAACATGGCACAGAACTAATAACCATTTCTCATCCCCAGAGGATTATTTGTTACAAACAATGTAAAATAAAATAAAATAAAAAAATAAAATATTTGCTTTGTTAAATAAAAAAAAATAACATTGAAAATAATTTAATTCAATTGTAAATGCAGGTTCATGGGCACTCACAGACCGAAAACGGGTGTTTGTATTTTCCATGTGTAGACATCATTGGCTTTACACTTCACTATTCAGCTTCACGTTAAATGGAATGATTTACAAAAACGGTACATAACTATTGAAGAGTAAAATTTGCTTGTGAAAGGTGATGGCAGATTCTGGATATAATTTACTTTCAGTAGCATATTAACAAGACATTAATCGGTGTGTTTATGTGAGAGCGACACACACTTTATATAAGTGTATATACTATTCGTACTGGTTGAATTTTTTGAAAGTGAATTGTTTAGTTATTCACAAAAGTTCAAACCTAAATAGCTATGTAGTACTGATTTGTTTCTTGTGAAACTTTCACACTGGGGTTGACGTTGACAGTGTGTTATGCTTCCGTGTAGCAATATGTCAGACATAGTGTCACCTACGTAATTAAAACTACTCAACTATTTAATACATTTCCTGCATCAATGTATAAGATCAATGCAAAAATGTGAAAATGACATGTTTGCTGATAAAATAAATGATATGTGTTGATAAACTTTATCAAACATAACTAGCATAACTTAAAGAGAAGTAGTTTAATTTTAATTCACTAGGTCGTAGAAAACGTCTTCCAATTAACAGTTTCTATGGGTCAATATTTGTGGCTTGTTGAGAGATGCCTGTCTTAAAACATGCTGGACAGCCAATTTAATATTCAAAGTGTCCGTGACTTGGTGATAGTTATGGCATCATCTTCAGCACTCCATAGAAATGTATAGTCATCGGAAGGATGTTTCTGGAAAGATACAGAACACAAATTCTAATAATTAATACGATTCCAACAAGTAAGAAGACAAACAACAGCGCCATTACTGCCACCATTTTAGTTGACCCGAAAATAGAATGCACACTGGCACTCCACTGAAAAAAAGTTACATGTAAATAAAAAATTTGTTAAACAATAACTAATCTACCTTGTGTTTCCAGAAACGGTTTCTCCATTCAAACAATGGACGTACACCGTGCAAGTAGACAAGCAGGCAAATAATGAAAACCAACAGGACAATCGCCAATGGACAGAACACAGTGCTTGTAACTTGGTGGTCTAAATAGAAAAATAAACATAAGCAAAATATATGAGCATGTTATAGCCTAATTATTTATATTTCAGTCTTGGGAACACGATAATGTGATGAAATACACAGACAGTAGCATATCCCTGTCAATAACAGATATGTTAAGCTACTCCCACATACTCACCTTGCTCATAATGTATTGCTGTTTTATTTTGCACTTTCTCAACTTCACTATCTAGAAAATAAAACAATTAGAGTAAAAATATAAATATATTAAACTTTATTATATTGATGTAAATAGTGGTCATGGGTATCGTCTATAATCTCTCTCTCTCTCTCTCCCTCCCTTCATTGCAGTTACCTGATGTGGTGTTCTCGTCTATTGACGTAACTGGAAGCGTAGCTTGATTGTCTAAATTAGCTGGATCTGTGGAGTATCAGTACACAATATATTATAAATATTGTTATTACCAAATTCACGTATAAGGGTAATCAATAAAATGTGTATTCAGAAATTATATTAAAGTGAGTGTGGTATTACATGCAATATCGAATAACTCAATGTTAAACGTATTTGTTTGAATCCACAACATGATCAATCGATGGATCAATCAATCAATCAATCAATCAATCAATCAATCAATCAATCAATCAATCAATCAATTTTATTTGAAATAAAATCCAATTCCATCAACAGGGTGTGACACAATGCATGTGATCTCACCATCGTTTTGACTGATTCCAGGTTTTTTACTAATAAAAGTTACCATGTCCATGTCCTCTGAAATAAAAAAAAAGTAGAGAAGGCTTTTACCGTGATTCGAATTTACTTGCTTATGTCATACATTATATAGTTTTGAAAGTTATTAATGAAATTAAATTAACCTTTCGAACATACGGCAATTATATTATTACTGGAAAAACCTGATTTATTTAATAATTCAACTAAACTAAGCAATTGCAAATACAAAATGTAATTCTTAAATTATTGCAATACACTAATAGCTGTATTGGGCACTGAGAAAACTTAAATAAGAAGTAATACCATGTATGAGGATCTCAATAATTGTGTTTTTATGTGCACGTCGAGTACTTTCGCCAAGCATATACCTCCCAGTTGTACTATGTGATACTTTATTAAAATAAATGGAGAGTACGCCTTCATGAAGACTCGGTTCCACTATGCCATTCCACTCTACCAGGCAACCAAACACATCGTCAGGTTTAATTTCCCCATTGTCGTTAATCAGAGAGAATAATTCTCTAACTGGCCGAGGAGTTCGTTGTGATAAAACAACATCCATAGAGTTGTTCAACTTAAGCTCAAAGTGTATCGACATTCTTCGTCCAACTCTACCATATGCATGGAGTATTCCAGTAGACACATCTGCAATCAATCAATCAATCAATCAATCAATCAAGCAAGCAATCAAGCAAGGAAAAACAATCAATTAACTAATATATCAATCAATCAATCAATCAATCAATCAATCTATCAGTCAATCAATCATAAATCAATCATTAACCTATTTCAAGCTTTTAAGTGTGTAGTGGACGTATTTTTGGTTATTTTTTTACAGAGGTGTATAATAAATTGAGTATGAATAAATCACGGTATATGTTGTCAACTGTCATTGTGTTTATGATTAAATTTGCATATTTGCATATTCTTAGATGTTTACCAACCAAAACATCTGTCACACAACATTTCATGACTATTTTAAATTCATTGGTATGCGAATTAATGTATTTTTTCCACTACATATAATGCCTGATGTATAGCACAATGCTTTAATTTAATTTAATTTAATTTAATTATCACACAACATGTAGAATACACTCAATGCTTACCTAAAACATTCACTTTAGAAGAGGCCACAATATCTCCAGAGTTCAGTACGAATTGATACATTCCATTGTCAAAATCAGAAATGTTCCCAATCCTAAAGACATATTGCTGGTTCCTTGTAATGAATTTGTATTTATGGTTATCATCATCATCATCATCACCATCATCATCATTGCCATCAACATTTAGTATATCACTGGTGCAGGAGAGTCGAGTGTAATTCCCTGTAAAACAATTATTAATGTTTTACGTCGAAGCACACACAATGTTTTGCATGGGTATATCATTAGATCCATAATAATAAGAGTAAGCTAAAAAGTATTAATTGTTTATGTTATGTTATTTTTCAGACTTCATTGCACTCACCATTCTTTACGAAGTAAACACAGACCTGCTGTGAAGTTCCACTCCCTAGCAGAATTGAAAAGCCAGGAAGGATATTCGTGTCCGTATTTTGTGGGACCAACAACGTATAACTGCCAATATTTCTGGAGTCTACTAAAACCGCAAGAAAATGACATGCAATTTGAGGCACAGATACAAACAAATGCAACATGTAACGCAGAATTCGAACAAGCAAGACAGCCACACAGTCTGTAATTAAAACAACGTCATTACATTCCCAACAAAAATAATATTCATTGAACAAATGAAAAATTCAAATATATATTTTGTACTGTGTCGTAATGTTTTTTTTATTGAAATAACAAAAGAAAAGATTAGTACTGTACCTGGGTGAGGTGGACAAGAAGATACTGAGTATGTCCCATTCAGTAATATAAATATAATCCCAACACATATAAATTTCATTATGGTAAACTAAGTAGCAAAAATGAGTGAAACATAATTAAATAATAAAAAAAACTGAATACATTTGGTACGAGAACGTGAAAATAAATTTAACCATACATTAATATAGTATTTATATAATGCCATATA